CTATACAAAAAGAAAAAACCCGTCAAAATGTGCCTGGAAATGCTAGATAATAACTAGACTCTGCAGGAGCTACGCTCGGTGCGACCTACGCCATAGTCACCTAAACCGGAAGTCCCGAAAAAGTTATATTTTTACTGTAACAACAACAAACATGTTTAATGAACCATATTTCATAACTTTAAATGCAAATATAAATTGCCAATTTTAAAATCATATGCACACATTTTGCAAACAACAAAGCTATTTGCAGGCATTTACCTTTTACCCCTTTTTTAAATAACCACTTCAAACTATTTACATAACCATCAGCTGTTCTGCATTCAATAAGATGCCACACAAATTATTTCTGTCCACTATAAAGGAGAACATCACAGCCTGATACCTGCAGGTCTGACAGCAGCAGGTGTATCACTCCTATTCTCTACCTGGAGACAGCAGTCGCCTCAATGTTCTGACACACAACACAAAACTATCCACAACACTACACACTAACTACAAAAGACAACACATTAACTACACACTCCAAACATGCTAAATGTTACAAATTTCTCACATCTCAAAACTCGCACTCTCTCTTTTTCTGCTGTCTTTCTCTCTTTCTCTCTCTCTCTCTCACTTTCTCGCCGTCACTCCTAAAACTTCCCCCTCTTCCTAAACAGCCAAATGTCATGTTGCCATATCAGGGCTCGCAAAATTTCAAAATCCCTGGTAGCCCTTCGAATAAAAAAGATAGCAATTTTTTGATTGATGTTTTGTTTGGTTCTAATGGGGGCCTTTCTTAAAATTACTGGTCCCAGTAACAAAGGCGCTTGTCGACTCAGAAATCGAGGGAAAACCAACAACACACCCGGCAGAACATTATGTTATTTACACGGGTGCACATAAGTGGTCCGCATGTGCGCATTCGCTGTCAAAATAAAAGACGCGCACCAGATAAGAAGTTGCAACGCAAGTTTGCGTCCATATAAAAGGCAGTGTTTTTGTCCGCTAGAGTGGGATGTTCATGGCACATTCTGCACCGCATCTCTGTGCGTTCATCATTTGTTTGAAGCCAGATCACCTCCTGCAACCACTTTTCCGAGAATACGCGCTTCTTTTGTGGTTCGGACTCCTTCTGACATTTCTTTGGAGGTAGAGAAACACCAAAGTAATTGCTTAAAGGAGCTTGCTTCTTCGACATCTTTAAGAGTTCTAAACAAATGTCTGTCCTCCTCCAGAAAATCCTATGTACGCAAACACGCGTTGCAACTTCTTATCTTGTGCACGTTTTTTATTTTGACAGCGAATGCGCACCTGCGGACCACTTACTGTATGTGCACCCCTGGTTATATAGCTCGTCATATTGCAGCCACAGAAATTCATTTGTCCATGAAACCATAAAGCTGCACTTTCTTTTTGCCTTATAGTCTGATTTGTCATAACTTTTCCGTTTTGTGGTAAGCTTTTCTTTGGCTGTCACTTCTTCACCCTGACCTGTCTTATTTGGCTCAGCAGAACTAAAATATATATCCTGCTGCTTTTACACACGCACTCACATAAGCTCAGCGATTCTCTGCGCGATCAACCTCTCACATGTTTAAGCTGCGGGAGATTTCACTTGTCATGTTTGCATAGTAAGCTAACGATTGATAAGACGATGTCAGAGGAATTGGTGCACAAATTATCATCACTCACCAATCAGTGCTGTCACTCTCTATACACAGTTCGCGCGATTGCAAAGTGAAAGCAAAAAACAAGCACAAATTCAAACGCGATTTCAATATGCCACATATTGACAGTGGCTCACCGATGCCAATGATATAATTACCCAGCTACATTTCCGAAAGAATGCAAAAGCATTGACATATATTTTTCCTTCCTATGATAGCCCGACGGGCAGGGCAGAGATAGATTTTGGTAGCCCGACTGGAAAAATCGCTAGCCCCGGGACGTCGGGCTAGCGATTTTGTGAGCCCTGCATATCATTTTGATTGGTCGGCATGGTGCATTTTTCCACCAAGACCAAAGGGCTTGCGCTGTCCTTAGACGTTAAACGTGACAAAATTATTCAGGAAAAAACGCTGTGTATATATTGTTTATCATGACTCTGGTTTTACGTGGCCTATCAACACAATTTAAAAACTGGTATATATCACCTTGTTGCTTTGTCATCTTGAAGTAGTCATGTGATTGGCTTACCATGACTACTTTATTCTTCCTCGGTCAAACAGCAGCACTCATGCAATTGTTTTGTCCCCTTAGTTCCAGGTGTTGTGCCAAAAAGTGATTGTTGAGCAGACAGTGATTGCCATCTGCGGGAGCACTCGCAGCTGCTTAAATCTGTAGCGTACAGATTACTTACGTAGACAGCTACTTCCGTGCAACTGATATAAGGTGCGGTAAGCTGAACAGAGCTTCAACCGTCTGTTTGCTGAAAAATAGTAACGCGACCGCACCTTATTTTCTTCTTCGTAACGGTAACGGCGTTGCAACGATAGAAATTGTAATAGTTAGATTACTCATTACTGAAAAACGCGGTTTTTCAGTAATTACAGTAATTGTAACGTTGTTATTTCCATCACTGATTAAAACTTAAAACACTATCTTTTACAATAGTATGACAGTAGAGAAGAATGACTGAAAAAACTTTGTGTGGTGTAAACAACAATTTGACTCTACCTGTATCTGAATTACATATTCTGTTGCCAGGTCCCTTCTGAATACTTGATTGGCTACTAGTGTCCCATCTTTTTCCAATACAAACTCCCTCCCTTCATTTCCCAATAAGATACGGAAGTCGAAGGGTGGGCCATTTTGAGAGGAGTCCTCATCAATGACTGACAACTGCAGGATACTGGTACCAATTGGCTTGTTTTCCTGGTCAAGGGAAGCCAAGACGATGAATCATTATATGCATTTCACGTTCAGTCATAATTCCTAAACTGAATTTAAATCTTATTAAAATTAAAATTAAATGAAAAATACACATCTGAAAAAGAATCTACAGGAGTGTAATCAACATTCCGGCAGAATAAAACAAATGTATAGTCTTTTAATAGTATTTCAGGTTCAAGGGTCATTCATAATGTCATTCTTCATCAGAAACATGACAAAATAAAATGAAGTAGGTATCTGTGCTCATAACAGTTATAAATAGAGATGAGAATTTTTTTATATGCTTGGCCTGTGTTGCAATATCAGATTTCACAGCAACTGTAAGCTTTCCTTTTTTTCACTGACTAATTTTTAGAGATGCTGATATAGGGAAGGGGACAGGCGTACTTAAAGCACTGACTTAGGAATTTAAGTACTATAGTTCACCTGAATTATTACATGATATTGTTATATTTGGGTTCAACTGAAGATTGTGAGGATTATTAAGATTACCTGTATGACAGCAGAGAGGTTGGCCGGTGAAAAGGTGGGTGGATTATCATTGATGTCAGAAATGTCTATGTTTACCATCACAGTGGAGGACATGGCAGGGGTTCCACTATCCAAAGCTCTTATGGCAAGTGAGTAGCTGGGAACCTACAGGGAAAGAGACAACAGAAGATATCCAGACAAATCAGGAATGAAGCATTGGCGCCTAATGGTGAAGCCAGAAAATCTACTTTTGTAGCAGCACAGTGAAGTTTTCATTTTTCATTCAGCTAGTTTCAAATTCCCAAACATTTCAATGGAATTCAAATCTGGCCTTTTCTTCTTGACTATAAGTGTCTTTTCCTCTACTTTTTGAGCCATGCCTAGGTATAACTACATTCAGGCACATGAGCAGATTTGGACACATTTACAGATTTCACACCAAAAGAAAATCTATTATTCAACATTTTTTTAATATGAATTTATTTATTTGTACTCGATCAGGAAATCACTCAACCCATTTTTGGCTGGACTTGAAGGTGCTCATTTTTATCCCCACTGCTTCATACTCAGCTAAAAACTGTTCCCGTGCAAGCTCGATGAAGCCAACAGAACACATCATCTACAAAAACCAATAATGAAATAAAAATAATGAAAAACAAAATTCCACTATAGAAGGTGTGACTATTGGATTGAGTAGATCCTGAACGTGTTCGTTCCACCACCTGACTAAATCCCCTGTCGAGGTCAGCACCGCTGTACACAGTGTGTTTAGAATACTGCTTTCCCCTTCTGAGTTGTCAGACGATTTGCTAGAACCGCTTTGAAGGCAACCAAGAGTCTCCAAACTCCTGCCACACCAGAGTTTTTCCATCAGCCACTAGCACAGCTGCACTCCCCTGAGTCTGCCAGTACCTGTCTGCTGCCTCTGAAGTCCCACAGGCCTGCTAAGACTCCTTCATGATTAGACTCCTTCAGGACTGGCGGCTCCCTTCATCTCCGGTATCCACCAGTGACTAAGCCGAGTGCAGCTGTGCTGGTTCTGGGATTAACACAATTAACCTTGCAGTAGCAGCCAGTTGAGCTGTGGAAAATGGTCATTAGCCTTGTCCATAGCCTCCTTCGGAGTGTAGTCAAAGCTCTGTTGGAGCCAATCGCCTCCTCACAGCGAAAGAAATAGTATTGAGTAATCCTGTTATTTTCCCCCAATTTTATAGGCTCCAAAAGGTTGTACGAATCAACAATTTCAGTTTCAATAAGAGATTACAGGATGGCCCCAACCTCAGCAACAGGACCACTCTCAGCATTGACCGAGTGCGTTTACTTTTGGAACGGTGCCTTCATTTTGCCCAGGCAGCTCTGAACCCCACATCCAGAACTTTTTGAAATTTGTTGAGAAGGTGAGAGATGTCATTATGGAGGCAGATGAAACCATAGTCTTATACAATGTTACATCTCTCTTCACTTGCATCCCAGTCACCAAAGCGTTGGAGGTAGCTCGTAAGAGATTACAGGATAACCCCAACCTCAGCAACAGGACCACTCTCAGAGCCAACCAAGTGTGTTTGAACTGTGTGTTTATTCCACCTATTTCACATACAAGGGCCAGTACTACAGGCAGAAACATGGGCGTGCCATGGGCTCCCCAGTTTCACCCATCGTGGTTAATTTGTACATGGAAGAAGTGGAAAAGAGGGCTTTGCTACCCTACCCTGGAACACCACCAAGTCATTGGTTCAGGTATGTGGATGACACCTGGGTGAAAATCAAATCTCATGATGTTCCAGAATTTACAGATCACATTAACTCGGTGGACCAACATATCAAATTCACCAGGGAGGATATGAAAAGTGGCAGGCTAGCCTTCTTAGACTGTGAGATTTCCATCAGTAATGGGGGACATCTAAAAGCTAATGTGTACCGGAAACTTACGCATATGGATCAGTATTTAAGGTTTGACTCTCATCATCCACTGGAGCATAAACTGGGTGTCATCAGGACGCTACAACACAGAGCGTAAACATAGTTATCCCAACTGGACTTTTGTCAAAGCTGGGAAGGCACCAAAAGAAAGCTCCAGCCGAGAAGGACAACCGCTGACTAAGCAAAAACCTGTAGTGATCCCGTATGTGTCGGAACAATTGCATTTTTTCTAAGCACCATGTCTCTGTGGCTTTTAAACCCCAAAACACGCTTCGCCAAAAATTGGTCCATCCCAAGGATCGGGTCCCCCGACACAAACAGAGTAACATAGTGTACACTGTTAAGTGCCAGGAGGATTGCCAGGATTTATACATAGGGGAAACCAAACAACCTCTGGCGAAGCGGATGGCACAACACAGAAGAGCTGCCTCGTCAGGCCAGGACTCTGCAGTAGGTCCTGACTCTCCCAGGACCTACAGGCCAGTGGAGTGGACACTCTTTCAAAGATGAGGATGTATACATCCTGGACAGGGACGAACGCTGGTTTGAGAGCGGAGTCAAGGAGGCCATTTACATGAAAAGGGAAAGACCATCGCTGAATCGAGGAGGGGGCCTAAGGGTACATCTTTCACCATCTTACAATGCTGTGTTTGCAGCCATTCCCCAACTCTCTGTGAATGGTACTCATAGCCATTGATCAGTGGTTGTTGATCAATGGTCATGAGAATTTGCATAATTATGATGAAGGTGACCTCCCAGCCCATTGTTCCTTCAGTGGGCTGGTTTCAGTCATTATGCAAATGTACTATTTATAACACTGGGGAAACCTGCAGTCAGCTGAGACTGAAGAAGTCACTTGGATGAGTGACGAAACGTTTCTCCCACTGAAAACGCTACGTCCAGATGAACAGAATCAACTTTTGGAGACTTTCTTAAGTGTCTGCAACTGTGACTGTTACAAGATCCTGTTCAGGGAGGTAGCTGTGCTCTGTTCTTAGAGCCACTAGCCTTTATCCTATATTCTTCCAGTATTGCTCTGTCTCCAGCCTTGAGGTTCTTCTCATATTGTTGTCCTACCACAGAGTACACCTTGGATGGTTCAGTAGTGTACAGCTGATTTATTCCCTTGCCTTCTATCTCTCTGGTATACCTCTTCAAGTGGCTGCCCAATGCTGTGAGTGTTTGCTTGGCAGTGTCCAAGGCCTCAGGTATAGAAAGCTTGCTGTACATCTTAGGTATGACTTTCTTCATCACAGCTTTCTGCAGCTCCGATTGTTGATTAACTTCCTTCCATACTGCTTTGATCTTTGCCACTAGTACTCCATGGGTGTACTGCTTCTTCTGGCTGATCATTTTATAGCCAAGCATTTCACGATCACTGCTGCCGTAGTGTCGTAGTGTTGGTTTTCGATGATCGTCCCAACAGGGATTGTAAGTAATGCTGCATTCATGTCTTCTACTAGAACTTCAAAGGGTACTTCATGTTGGGGGCAGGAATAGCTCAGTAGGTAGCGTGGTCGCCTCATAGTCGGAAGGTCAGAGGTTCGAATCCACTGAACGGCTACCCTGAGGTACCCCTGAGTAGGGTATCATCCTTACACACTGCTCCCCGGGCACCTGATTAGTGGCTGCCCACTGCTTCACTGAATAAATGGGTTAAATGCAGAGAGAGTAATTTCCCCACAGGGATCAATAAAGTATACATTATTATTATTATGTTGTCTTGGAAAACGGCCACGGAGGTTCCAGGTTCAACTCCCAGGCTGTAGGAGATTTAGGGTAGGTGAATGACCTGAACCAGTTTTTCAGCAGGTTTGACCAGACACTCATCCCTCCTCCAGCCCAATCACTTCTTCTGCAAATGCCCTATTTTTGACCAGTGCCTGCTTTTCTTCCATGACTGCACACCTCTCAGTCCTCAGCTTCAAAATACTCACAGCTCCCCTACCACTATCCTTTCAACACTTCATGTAAGGAACAAGCTGGAGAAGACCAAATGGTAAATGGCGCTTTTCTAGTCTTTTCTAGTCCCTAAGGACCCCAAAGCACTTTACACAACCAGTCATCCACCCATTCACACACACATTCTCACACTGGTGATGGCAAGCTACATCGTAGCCACAGCCACCCTGGGGTGCACTGACAGAGGCGAGGCTGCCAGACACAGGCGCCATCGGGCCTATAGGCAACGGATGAAGTGTCTTGCCCAAGGACACAACGACCGAGACTGTCCAAGCCAGGCTCGAACCGGCCTTCCGATTACAAGGTGAACTCCCAACTTTTGAGCCACGATCGCCCTAATCAAGATGCGAAATGCTGCAGGTCCGAATCACATCAGCCCCAGGCTCCTGAGGTACTGCATAGACCAACTGTGTGGCATCATGGGATACATTTTCAACATTAGCCTGAAGCTAGGGTAAGTACCACGGGTGTGAAAGACCTGTGTGGTACAGCCTAGCATCGGGGTGGATGATGCCATCATCTATCTCCTGCACTGAGCTTTGACCCACCTGGAGAAGACTGGGAGCACTGTGAGGATACCATCCAGCATGGACTTCTGAGGGACATACTGGGGCTCTCAGGAGCAGACCACTTACTGTCCCAGTTGATACTGGACTCACTGGCTGCCCACAGTATGTGAGGACACAGGGCTGTATCTCTGACAGCCTGGTTCACAGTACGGGGTGCCCTGCAAAGAACTGTGCTAGCATGATTCCTGTTCACTCTCTACACTCCAGACTTCTCCATCAACCGTCTAGGCTGCCATCTAAAAAAGTTCCCTGAGGACTCATCACAGATGAATCAAGCAGTGTACAGACAGTGGATTCAGGATTTTGTGGACAGGTGCCGGCGGAACCATCTCCTGATCAATGCGAGGAAAATCAAGGAGCTAGTAGTAGATTTCCACAGGGGCAGACCCTGATGCCCCCCTTGACTCAGTGTAGGTTGTAGGAGACGAAAGAAGTTACTGTTGGAGCATTTCAATGATCACAAAAAAGACAGGAAAAACTAGAGGCTGCATGTAGAAGGACATATCCATAGACTTTTAACTGTACATTGCAGCAAGAAGTAAGATTCAACTATTTAATTTCAATTATATATACATTGGGGTAAAAAAGTATTTAGTCAGCCACCAATTGTGCAAGTTCCCCCACTTAAAATGATGACAGAGGTCAGTAATTTGCACCAGAGGTACACTTCAACTGTGAGAGACAGAATGTGAAAAAAAAATCCATGAATCACATGGTAGGATTTGTAAAGAATTTATTCGTAAATAGGGTGAAAAAAGTATTTAGTCAGCCACCGATTGTGCAAGTTCCCCCACCTAAAATGATGACAGAGGTCAGTAATTTGCACCAGAGGTACACTTCAACTGTGAGAGACAGAATGTGAAAAAAAAATCCATGAATCACATGGTAGGATTTGTAAAGAATTTATTCGTAAATTAGGGTGGAAAATAAGTATTTGGTCACCTCAAACAAGGAAAATCTCTGGCTCTCACAGACCTGTAACGTCTTCTGTAAGAAGCTTTTCTGTCCCCCACTCGTTACCTGTATGAATGGCACCTGTTTGAACTCATCATCTGTATAAAAGACACCTGTCCACAGCCTCAAACAGTCAGACTCCAAACTCCGCCATGGCCAAGACCAAAGAGCTTTCGAAGGACACCAGGAAAAGTATTGTAGACCTGCACCAGACTGGGAAGAGTGAATCTACAATAGGCAAGCAGCTTGGTGTGAAAAAATCAACTGTGGGAGCAATCATCAGAAAATGGAAGACATACAAGACCACTGATAATCTCCCTCGATCTGGGGCTCCACGCAAGATCTCATCCCGTGGGGTCAAAATGATCATGAGAACGGTGAGCAAAGATCCCAGAACCACACGGGGGGACCTGGTGAATGACCTGCAGAGAGCTGGGACCAAAGTAACAAAGGTCACCATCAGTAACACACTACAACGGCAGGGAATCAAATCCCGCAGTGCCAGACGTGTTCCGCTGCTGAAGCCAGTGCATGTCCAGGCCCGTCTGAAGTTTGCCAGAGAGCACATGGATGATACAGCAGAGGATTGGGAGAATGTCATGTGGTCAGATGAAACCAAAGTAGAACTTTTTGGTATAAACTCAACTCGTCGTGTTTGGAGGAAGAAGAATACTGAGTTGCATCCCAAGAACACCATACCTACTGTGAAGCATGGGGGTGGAAACATCATGCTATGGGGCTGTTTTTCTGCCAAGGGGACAGGACGACTGATCCGTGTTAAGGACAGAATGAATGGGGCCATGTATCGTGAGATTTTGAGCCAAAACCTCCTTCCATCAGTGAGAACTTTGAAGATGAAACGAGGCTGGGTCTTCCAACATGACAATGATCCAAAACACACCGCCCGGGCAACAAAGGAGTGGCTCCGTAAGAAGCATTTGAAAGTCCTGGAGTGGCCTAGCCAGTCTCCAGACCTCAACCCCATAGAAAATCTGTGGCGGGAGTTGAAAGTCCGTGTTGCTCGGCGACAGCCCCAAAACATCACTGCTCTCGAGAAGATCTGCATGGAGGAATGGGCCAAAATACCAGCTACTGTGTGTGCAAACCTGGTAAAGACCTATAGTAAACGTTTGACCTCTGTTATTGCCAACAAAGGTTATGTTACAAAGTATTGAGTTGTATTTTTGTTATTGACCAAATACTTATTTTCCACCCTGATTTTGTCACGGTTCTGGGTCCGTTGGACCCAGTATTCTGAGTTTATTGTGTTTTGATTTAAGTTTGCATCAGGGATTGTGTTCTTGTTCTCTTGTCGTGTTATGGTGATGATTATGTCTATTATTAGAGTTCCATGTTTCTGTTTATCTGGGTTTAAGATGTGGGTTTAGTTTCATATGTCATTTCCTGTCTGTCTCTCGATGTCGAGCCTGCGTGTGATGTTTTATTGTGAAGGTCTGCGTCTCATGTGAGTGTGTTCAGTTTTACCCCGGTCTCATCTTACTGATTGTTCCCAGCTGTGTCCACCACCTGTGTGTAATTCCCATGTTTCTCTGTGTGTATTTAAGTCGTGTCCTCCGTCATTGTAGTTGCTGGTCCGTCTGTGTATCTACCATGTCGCACCCGTGTGTTCTCCCTGCTGTCCATCGTCATTCTCCTCTGCTCGTTCTCATTCAGGTTTGTGCTTTGTAGTTTAGTTGTTTTCCCAGTATAGTTTAGATTGAGCTCCATTTGCTGTTTGTCCTTATTTTGTGCTCAATAAACCACCCTCACTTCTCCACTACTGCCTGCGTTTGGATCCTCCTTCATTTCCTCCACACGGCTCCTCTCACTCGCCGTGACAGATTTACGAATAAATTCTTTACAAATCCTACCATGTGGATTCATGGATTTTTCTTTCACATTCTGTCTCTCACAGTTGAAGTGTACCTCTGGTGCAAATTACTGACCTCTGTCATCATTTTGGGTGGGGAACTTGCACAATCGGTGGCTGACTAAATACTTTTTTGCCCCACTGTATGTATGTGTATATCGTTAGCTTCATAGCATAAGTGCCTAAGTCATTTTTTGGTCAAATTGAGATTTTTGCCTAACTTTACTCCCCTACCACTGCTGCATCATCCTGTCCGTCTGCCTATGTCATCACAAAAAAATGACTTAGGCACTTATGCTATGAAGCTAACGATATATACATATATATATATGTATATATATGATATATAATATATATGTATATATATATATATATATATATATATATATATATATGAATGAAGCAATTGGCCTGTCTCCAGTAATTTCACCAAACCAAACTGCACAGAGGATAAGTGGATGTTTTTCTATGTAGAAGTGTGTCCTCACAGTCTCACGGTCCAGTTGCTTGTTGACCTTGATGACTCCACTGAGTGGGTCAATGAGGAACTGGTTGTGTCTGTCTCCACTGACAATGGAGTAGAAGACGGCTCCATTCAGCTGACTGTCCACATCATCTGCTTTCAGCTGTAAATACACACACACATACACAAACACACACTGAGTACATATTTGGTTGGGTAACAATTGCAGTGCTGTCTGTAGTGAGGTTTCTATAATACACTGAAGAATAAGTCTGCGACCAGAGCTTTTCACATAGATATTTCTACCCTTTTCAATTTTTGATGTGCTGTAATGGATCTGAAAGTTGCTAATGTTTAAAGTGTAAGACAATATGGAAAAGATGAGGCTTTTGTAACTTAAACTCTTGAAAGAATTGTGTATCAGCTATATGATGATTGCAGAGGAACAGTTTATTTTTGTTTTAGTCCTGATTTAAACTTGTCCTCAACGTATCCTTGCATGGCTTCTGACAGTGGACTCATCTTTGTGTTTGTCCTGCTAGCCCTCAGTGTAGTATTCACTGGAGTTAATCATAACATTTTGCTAAAGACTACAATATACCTTCAGCAATAAAAGAAATACATACTTGTTTTAATCATTTCTGATAGATTCAGTTGGTAAATTTAATGAGTATTTCTCAGACAAACAGTTAATCATGGTGTTCAACAGGGTTCTGTGCAAGGATCGATAGTTTTCTTATTACCTTATTTAATACTATCAGAAAACACCACATACATGTAAGTTGCTATTCAATTATACCCAGTTATCTTTATAAATTCATCTATAAATCCCAGATGGCACAAAAAAAAAACTACAAGGATGCTCTAAGGCCATAAAGGTCTTAATGATGTTTAACTCTGGACACTGAAATTAGGACAAAACTGAAATTATCATATCCAATCCAATCCAATTTTATTTATAAAGCACTTTAAAATACCCAGCACAGGAACAAAGTGCTGTACAGAAAGTAAGTTAAACAGCAAATTAAATAAATAAATCACATAAGACATAAAATTAAAATTAAAATTAAAACAGCCCTATGTTAAAAAACAAGATAAAACAGCATCGAGTCACCTAAAAACAACTAAAATAAAATAAAAATAAATATAAAAACCAACATCTCACGTGGTGTCAAAGGCCAAAGTAAAGAGGTGGGTTTTCAAGAGTGACTTAAAAACAGGTAAAGAAGTGGCCTGTCTAATCTCTAAAGGAAGCTCATTCCACAGTTTGGGAGCTGCTACAGCAAAAGCACGATCTCCTCTAAGTTTACGCCCAGTCCTGGGTATCTTCAGGAGCAGCTGATCAGCTGACCTGAGAGAGCGGGTGGGTGTATAAGGCTGTAGCAGCTCAGAGAGATAAGATGGGGCGAGGCCATGGAGAGCTTTAAAAGTAAATAAAAGAATTTTAAAATGAATCCTAAAAGAAATGGGCAGCCAGTGAAGTGAAGCTAAAACAGGGGAAATGTGCTCAAACTTTCGAGTGCCAGTTAAAAGACGAGCTGCGGCATTTTGCACCCTCTGTAGGTGACTAATATATAATGCACTGACCCCTATATAAAGTGCATTACAGTAATCCAGCCGAGTGCTAACAAAGGCGTGGATCACTGTCTCAAAGTGCTGCCGTGAAAGAATTGGTTTTATTTTTGCCAGCTGCCTGAGGTGAAAGAAGCTAGATTTTACCACTGCCTTAATTTGATTATCAAACTTTAGATCACAGTCCACTTTGACCCCCAGGTTTGTGACAGTTGGCTTAACATACTGTGCCAGGGAATCTACATACACATTGGGGGTCTCAGTGGAGCTACCAAAAACCATCACCTCTGTCTTTTTATCATTGAATTTTAAGAAGTTAGCAGACATCCAAGCCTTAATATCATCGAGACACTGAAGTAATGGCTGTGTAAGGTATCTACCTTTTTTCTTTAGAGGGACATAGATCTGACAGTCATCAGCATAAAAGTGGAAAGCAATGCCGTGCTTTCTCAGTACAGAACCAAGAGGAAGCAGATATAAAGAGAAGAGGAGGGGGCCTAGAACTGAGCCCTGTGGGACACCACACAAGAGGGGAGCGGAGGACGACGCATAGTCACCAAGGCTGACACAAAAAGTTCGCCCCGTCAAATAGGACCTAAACCACTCCAGTGCAGTGCCCCTAATGCCCACCCAGTGCTCCAAACGAGAGAATAAAATGGCATGATCCACGGTATCAAACGCAGCTGTCAAATCTAAAAGCACAAGAACAACACAGTCCCCAGCATCAGTCGCTAAAAATATGTCATTAAAAACTTTTAAAAGGGCTGATTCAGTGCTATGAAAGGGTTTAAAACCAGATTGGAAAACCTCTAAAACATTTTGCTTTTCCAGGAAGGCCATTATTTTGTTGTAAACTACCTTTTCAAGAATTTTGGAAAGAAAAGGTAGTTTGGAGATAGGCCTGTAATTTGCAAGAACCATAGGATCAAGAGCAGGTTTTTTAATCAGGGGTTTGACTACTGCATGTTTAAAATCTTTAGGGACAACACCTGACATCAGACTATGGTTTACCAGCTCAAGCACCAAAGGACCAACTGTAGGTAACACCTCTTTTAAAAGTCGAGGAGGGACAGCATCATTTGGAGACCCAGCAGGCTTAAGATGACCAACAGTCTCCTTTAAAAAGGACAGAGTCACAGGCTCATCTCTTTT